AAATCCTGGGGGCTTGTTTAATTGGCTTTTTATTTTTGGTAGACCTTTTTCTGTGGCTTAAAACCAAGATAAATTCTTGTTCTCAGCAATGATATTGACAGTCAGTTAGTAATGGACCACAGAGATGCAGCCAGAATCACAGGTAGCTGCTCCCATTGCTGACGTGGAGAAATAAATTCCTGAATGCCAGTTTTTCAGCACTGGGCTTCATGTTGCACAAGGTTATCTTTTCTTATCCATGAAATTGGGTATTCTCTATACAGGGCTGAACGAGAAAGCCAACAGTCAATCAGGACTACCAAGGACTTGCCTTGATAGTTCATAAGACAAGAAAACGAGAGACATGCTTCAAATCTCTCTCAGTTAAAGAGAGTAGTTTTATCTTTAACAACTACATGCTTGGCAAAGAATTATCTGCAAGTTGGGATATCCCAGCATTTGAATTTGGGCCAGATTTTGCTTTTAGCTGGGCATATGGTTGGAATGGCACTGAAATGGAAATCAGAGTTAGACTTGCATATCACAGAGCACACTGTGTCAGAATTTGTTGAAATATCTCACAGTCTAATATACCTCATTCTTAACTGAAAAGGAAATTTAAACAGCCAATATTACACTATCCCCTAATTTTTACTGTGAAGACAAGATGCAATCATTACCACAATACACAAACATCTGAATATTGTTTCACTGCTTAGTAATCACATATAACAATGACATAACCTAGTTTAAACATTCCACAATCCAATTTCAACAAAATATGAAGCACACAGTAGCTCATTTCCCACTATGTCTAATTAAATAAGCATATCTCCAATGCTGTAGTTCTCCCTGCACAGATTTTTTTTTTTTAAACATATATACTTCAGGCCATAAACTCAATTATTCTCTTCAGATCCTTTTCTTTATAATCTGTGTAAAATCAGTATTACAAGATTGCTTCACAAAGCAAGTATGGACCAGATACCAACCAGAAATACAGATACCTCTATTTAAAATTACTATTTGAACTTTGAACTCCTAGGCTGAAAAACAGCTTTGCTCAGGCTATTGCATTACATACATTACTTGTTAATATTGTGTCCCCCAAAAAGAACCCAAGTCAATATTTTACTTTCTTTGAAGGGAAAAGACCTGTTGGTTCTGTCCCTCAGTTCAGAACTAGGTTTTCTAAGCTTTAATCCATGCTTATAAAGAAAACAGCTAGTTAAGAAGTCAAAACATTTTCAGTGATGTTCTTTCACAGATCAGATTTTGAGTTTTATCTGCAATGAATCTTGAATATAAGGCTTCTAGTGTTCTACTTTTACCAAGTTTATCCTTCTGATATGAAATATACTTTCACACTTTTAGAGATTACACTTGCAATGTTTATATTAGGAGAAATGTTTAGGGTAAAACCAGTTTTAAAAACACTAAGCTGTGAATCTATCACATTTAGACTCTTTATACCGTTAAAAAAAATAAAAATATAGCAAACATACACTGTATTATTCCAATAGCTGAGAAAGAGAAATAAAATAATTTTTACTCTTACTAAAATACATAAAAATTACTTCTATTAAAAACATTGGTCAGATTGCATCATCCTTCTCAAGAAAACATACAAAGTGTTAATTTATGCTTGTGAATATACATTTGTCATTCAAGTCAATAGTGCGAATCACATGCTTAAAATTAAACACATGCATGAAAGTTTTCATGGCATTCCTTACACAAGGAAAAACATGTTATATTAATTATCACTCCATATGCCCATTCCAGGCAAAAACTGATACCAATCTAAATCACTTCTCAAATACATTTAAGCAGTATCATGTTGTTCTACAGTAAAATGCAAACTCTAGACCAATTTTTTCTGGCTTTATAGGTGCATATGCATTTACAGGTTCATACTCTCCATGGCTTTTATTATCTGCTGATTAATCCAAAGAAAGGTTATCTAAAATATGTCTCCCCTAAAACTTAGTACATGGACCAATTCAAGAGGCCATCTGCAACTGGACCACAGGCTAAAGTCACAGTGCACAGCATAAAGAAAAGACAAAGTCGTATTTTCTTTTTATTTTCAATTTGTTCTTCACTTGTACAGTTTCTGCACATATTTCTTTTCTCATGACTGTTTCATATCTCAGGAATTTCTCTGCCTCATCATCCATTAATCACTTTTCCTTCTACCCTTCCTTCTTATTCAGCACAAAGCAAATCTCAAGGAGGAAACTGTCACTGTCAAAACTTCTAACCAAACTTCAAAGAACAACAAATGAAACAGCCATGAACAACTTACTGCTTTTAGGGTACTTCAGCTAGATAGGTTCCTCCATCAATGAGTTTCATCAGCAAAAGACGAGATAATTTAATCCAGTATCCTCACATTGTTTTGTTTAGACCATCCTTCTACTCACTTCTCATCAAACTTAAATGACTTACCATTCAGGGCTAAGCAGTGTCAGTAAAAGTTGAATTTGGCTCTAACAAGCATAAAAAGAGAAGCACAATGCATCAACTTGACTATGCTACGCCTCCTGCATTCATTATTCTTTACTAAAATAGCCAAAGACAGACAACAGAAAGAGACAAGACAGAACATGATGTTCAAAAGTTTGTGCTAAAATACTTGCAACCCCAAAAATTGTATTTATTGCTGATATCAAACTCCACCAATATTTAGACACTGCAGGTGCCAGTTATTGATTCACAGCAAATGCCTGCTTTCCTAAACTAGTACCCATGATTCAGCACCATAACATGCAACACAGGTAGCAGCAGCATATTAAACCTCCTAAAGACAAACCAGTCTGGGCAGCAAACTTTTGTTTTTTAAAAAAAGACAGCACATTAAAATTTAAATGTTATCTCTGACTTTGACTACCTCTCTCAGTGAAAAAGAGCACCATGGTGCTAGGATTTCCAGAGATTTATATGCCAGTGTTCTCAAAGAGCTCTTAGGATCAATGCTGTATGTATGCCTGAAACAACTGATGTCTTACAAGTGCTGCTCTCCGGGTAGCATCTTCTGTCTGTCAAGGCAATGCACAATCTGATGAGCAATATTGCTTAGAATATGCCAAAGAGATGCCAAGAGTTTACCAAAGACATGTCTTTAAATCTCTACCAAGTTACAGCAGGACTCAGAATGCATATGCTGACAAAATGCAAATAAAAAAGCTCACTTCAGTTTGAAAACTGACTAAGTATATGTATGGAGCACATTAGTACATAGTATCTTTTTTATTACTATTTATTTTAAAAAATTATACTATCAGAAGCAATTCTGTAAGACAGTCTTCTGCAACAATCTCTCTAATAAAGGGACCTAACCATAACACAGATGTTCTGCATTGCTACTGGCTTTCAAAAATGTAACAGGGACCAAGAACTTGACTCAATAAGACTATCCCAACACTCAAAGAACTGTTTTGTGTAGGTAAATGGATAGGGTGGGGTGCAGCATAACCATATTTTAGGCACTGGTTACATATAGCTTTCAAACATCTATTTAATTCAATGATTCTGGTGATTTGAATGGTACTTAGTCTTCAATAAAAATAAATTTTAAAGTATCCTTGTATATAAAGATCATGTAAATACTTCCATCAGACTTCAACAGCAAGTAAACCACCAGTTTACTCAAAAAGTTCTCAAAGCTATATTACCCAACCTTTTAGAAGTTTACATGAGACAGCTATATTTAAAGATCCAGACCTATAAGGACTATTGTGCAAGCACAGATTACACTTCACTGCAACAAATACCACTGAATTGGAAGAACTGAAACAGTCCCACTTAGAAGAAGTATTCTCACCCTCTTCTGCATTATTTGATATTCTCGTTATTTCCCCCTCTGACTGTATTAATTTTCAGAGTTACAGGGCGCTCTTTTTTTTCTTTTTTCTTTAATGACTTCAGTCAACAATACACAGAACAATTTAGGAGTATCATGAAGCAATTTTTTTTTTGCTAGAGGGAACAAAGTGACGATACGTGTTCCAAAACATGTCAAAGGTAGGTGAGTAAGAAAGGTGTGGTCTGCTTCAGCTAGTTACAACATTTAGACTTTCAGAGCCAAGGCAGCTGCAGTGCTAGTGGCACAACCAGCATTCCTTCTTTTTGAAAAGTGCTTAGTTCTGCCAGGCTGTAATGTGGTGCATAGAGTTGCCATCCTGTTTCATGTTTGACTCCCAACTACTCTCAGGTGTCCGTATCTAGAAATATTTAATAATCTACAGCTTAGTTTTATTCCAAATAATATTTGCGTAACAAATCTCCAGTAATTAAACTATACAAGAAACCTAAAAGACAGAAATGTAATTACTATAAAAACATGACACTAAAAATATGACACAGTTACACTGAAAACCATTGAGTATTTTATACAGACACATAATGGGTCTCCAGAGGAAATGTTCACCCACTTGAGTACACAGTGTATAAGCAAGCACTTAATTTTCGTAAGGGCTGCTGCTGCCATGATTCCACAAAAGTATCTACTATAAACAGGAACAATAAAATCACTTTGAAATTCTATATAAAACTGCAATTGGCTTATGCCTTTTAGAAGAGCATCTCGTATTCAATACAGCTAACCACTGAGCACCACTACAGTTAGGAGAGTTGAGAATACCCACAACTTTGCAGATCAGAACCTAAACTTTATAAGTAACTATATAAACTGTCTGCTTTTCATCACTTAGTTACTTCTTTTAAAACTGCAAAGTATAGTAGGGTGGGTCAGGTTAACCGAAAACGCAGAGGCATTTTGTTGTTCAGATAGAACTGAAGCACTGCTTAAGAAAACAAGGAAAAAAAATTAGAATTCAATCAGCTGACCTTATCTTTGAAATCAGAAAAAGAGCAATCACTTTAGACTTTCACGACTTTAGCAATAAAGTTCTCAAAATTGCGTGCATTACAATAGCGTTCATAATGCAACTTGATAAAGTGAGTTATCTCGCTCTTTTTATTTAATGTTTAACTATTGAAAAAGTCATGACACAAACCTGGGTCCACATGTCTAGAGTTTCTTCTAATTCCATTTGTTCGTTTCTGCATAGCAAAAATACAAATCAAGGATATGAATAAACATGTTTTCATGTAGGCATATTGCACTCCTTTGATTCCCACAATCTACTAAGCAAAGCTGGTTTTCTTATTTCCCCCAATCACCACCACAATTATCTTTACCTCATAGAAAGATCATACTTTGAAAAATATTCTTAGTAACGTACAGGTTTTTTTCCATATATCCCATTTTTTCCTGACACTAGGCTCAAAAGATTCTTAGTCCATTTCATACATCAACATCTTTTGATACCAAGAACAAATTTATCTTTTAACCATTTATGAATAGCATAGGGGAAAAATGTGCAGTTTGGCACTATCTGCCCCAGATAATGTCCACAAACACAAAAGTATGGAAGCTGCTCGCTTTGCTTTAGTAAGGTAGAAACTTTCACTATTTGTACTTAAGGTAGCTAGAATTTCCTATGGAATTCTTAATTTTCTTATTTTCGGGGCGAGTACTTAAATATATTTAGTAACTCATGTCCCTCTTTCTTTTAAATTTGGATGAACCAGGGCCATGTGAAATCAGAAACTCTGATGAGACTTTTTTTTTTTTAATGTGTGTTGTACTCCAAGACCCTTAATATAGATCCCTGAAAATTTCAGTGTGAAATAAAGCATATCTGTGAACTACTGATCTGCTTTTGCAAACTTGTTTTAACTGGTAGCTTGCACGAAGGTTCATGCATTTATTTCTTTTTTAATCAAACCAAGCAGAGAAAAGCATGTTGCATAACAAAGGGAACAATTAGGTTCCTCTGATTTACTTGCAGTTGATATAAGCTGGTGCAGGACACACACCGAGGCAGGCCAGAAAGCAGTAACCTGAGGCACAACCAAATTACTAAGCCCTGTAGCAAGCTGGCAAAATGAAAAGCTTGGTTTAAAAACAGCTTTCAAGCTCTTGAGTCTTTGGACATGCTCTCTCTGTACCCCACAACTCTAATTAAAGAAAGGATGCAAGTTTTGTTTAATCAGCAGTGGGAAGAAGTAAAATTTAAAACCGCTGTTACAATGAAGGTAGTATTACCGAATAAGAACAAAAGGTTGAACTATATCCTAGTTTGTTTGGTTTTTTTTAATGGAGGCTGTATTGCTGATCAGGATTGATGCAGACTGGTGATTAACCGCAGATTTGTACAAGAGAGGGAAAGGGGCAGGAGTGGGAAAAGGAAGCACAAAAGAAGATACAGAAATGTTTAACTGAAGTGAAAAAAAAATACAATAATTCTGTGACAACGTAAGTCATGCACACCAAAGGACCGGATGGAAAACAATTTTAAGGAAATAATTCTTGAGCCGTAAGAAAACATGCTCAACACCCTTAAATATATTGCAGTACCAGTAGATTTCATTACGCTACTGGTATGAAATCTAAATCCACGTTTTCCAAAACGACAGATCCTCATCTATGCTCAAGCTTCCTTCTGCACAGGGAGAATTAAAGCAGGCACTTAAACAAGAGTCTTGGTAAAAATGAAAGCAATCCTGACAGTTTGGATCAACTCGATAACACTTCAATAGCTCCAGAAAGGAAGCCATTTTTCCCTCACAAAAGAGATTTACCAATCGAGCTAGAGGGTGAGAAGCCGAGGAGCAGAAGAATCCCTTCTTACAAGCAGCATACTGTTTTCTTCATCCAGCCACAGTGTGTTCACCACAGTTAGCCTTACTGAGCCTGGCAGCCTCGTCCACAAGGCCCAGTAAGCGATCTGTTGACAGCTGTCCCAACACTCACTGCCTGTCAGCTGCAGTACTGGGAGAGTGTTAGGCAAACTGACCGCGTTGTAGTTTCCATATTTTAGAGTGCCCTTACTTGGCGGGCATTTCTGGGCAAAGACGTGAAAAGCCAGGCAGCACGTGGCAGGAGGCACGTCCGAGGGAGCAGCGAGGAGCGCAGGCAGGCAGCAGCACAGGCAGGTCTGTGGCAGCGCGGCCCCCTCGTCGCCCGGAGCTCCTCCCGGGCCGGGCCCCCAGGAAGCCAGTGCCCGCTGCCGCGGCCTGCGCCCGCCCGAGGCCCACAGCCAAGGAGCTCGCCAGAGGCTGCCGGGGCTCCCCTCACCCAGCCCCCGCCACCACCTGGGGTCACGGCGACACCGAGACGGCTCAAACATCAGAGAGCACAGACGTGGTCAGCCCTGCGCAGGACTCCCTCCTGCACCCGCCGCGTCAGCAACGACACCCTTCCGACTCCCCGGTTTTAGCGACAGCACCAAACACACGCGTGCTTACCGAAGGAAGTAACGTACACGCTTCTACGCTGTTCATAACCAGCGTGTCGTTTAAGCAGTTAAATTACCATAAGCTTCTGATCTAAAATAGACGTAGAGTGTAATAGTTTCTAGCGTTTGAAGGGCTTCCTCTCTTTTGTCAGAGCTGGCAGACAAAACCCAACCGCTGTGCCTTTCTGTACTTCGGTGGAAAGGCACCAGGAGCTGGAGAGAAAATAACCCCGGGCAGCTTGCAGCCTTCTTGGGCTGATAGCAAGGTACGCTACGTGCACCGTGGTAACTCTTCTGTACAGGGCCCATTTACCGTTCTCTCCAGCTTATATAAACTCCATAACCACTGGATAGCTCCGCAACTAAACTCTTTTTACACGAAGAGGCAAACACTGCCCTGCCAACCCTTCATCGCCACACAGTCTGGTGTGGCAGAGACTGGGACGCTAGCGTATTACTGCAGCAGGACTCACTAGCATTTTAAAACAAAACAAAGATTACTTTTAACTCTACTGCCAGATTTAGTCAAGGAACAGTAAGGATCATCAGTTGTGAAACAACCTATGGTTTTTACCTGTAACTTAAAAAACAAATCTCCACCCCTTCCAGTGCTCTCAGCATTAAGCCATACCAGCTGAAAATCGACTCACACTTTGAACAGAATACATTTATAATCATGAATACCTTGTTTCTTAGACAATTTCTATTTTTCCACCACTCTAAAGAAATCTGTTGTTAAATGCAGAAGAAAAGCATACCTGCTCCAACAGCACGTGCACAAAGTAAATAAGGAGCTCTTATGTCACTGACAACACAAACATCACATGCAAAGGAAAACAAATCCTTACCTCATGTTTCAGGTTCCCATGTTCTGAAACATAAGTAAAAATTGGCATTATTGACGATTGTAAATTGTACGCTTTTTATATAGCAATCTCAGACTGTACTGTGTTGCATTAGAGAAAACACTGCTGCCTTCTTTTGCTACCTGATACCTGCAGCCGCCCCAGCAGCCCGGGGCTGTGCCAGGTCCTGTTGTGCAAACCCTGCTGCGCTCTCCTCCCCACTCATTGGTCCTGCCGGGCTGTGCCGAGCTGGCGAGGAAAGGCTCCTTGCCGCAAATCATACTGCACTTCCCAGCAGCGGCATGGCAATCTAGTCCGCTCAACTTTATAAACTTTTAGAACACTTCAAATATACTTCATAAACATTGACTTGTTGGGAATTCAAAAGCTACAGCTCTTCACTGCAAGTCGAGTTTACACCTTTTCGTGTCTCTGTCTTTTCATAGCATGCCAATGTATATCAAGATAAGATGAACAACTTTAGCGTCAAAATTTTTTTGTATTTCATGTCTTTAAGTTCAATTCAGCATTGCCTTAGTATACCACAGACTCTGAAGCCATTGGTGTTTTATTTGCCACTTTTGCTATGGATTTTCTAGTTCTATTTAAAAATGAAAAAAAAAAAGAAAAAAAAAAAAAAAAAGCCCTGGGGGGGATCAGGACTGCATCAAGACAGTAACACTTTTGCACACCCACACCACCGCACATCACAAAAGACACAAAAACAGGTATTTTTTTACATTTTTCTTTGAATGTCTAATCCAATAACAGGTATTTGGGTGTACCCTAGATTCAGGTTAGGTGCCTTATCAAAGCACACACAGCTGTATTTACCTGTGTGCACTCTAGCACTGCACACGCTGTTGAGGCAAAGCACAAACTGCATGTCTGGTCGGTACTTCATCACATTTGAAAACTTTTCCTGTAGTATCTTGTAAACAGTAAGCCATATTCATAGTAAATCAACTAAAAAGGTCTAACTGCGAGTAGATTTTGTTCTGCTAGAAAAAAAAAAAACATTAAAGTGTAGGAAAAACAATTCTTTGGCTTTCTAGCATTTTATGCAAAGATGATAAGGCATGCCAAGACGAAGCACGCCAGCTGAGGACTCTGGGCCTGGCCAGGGAGGCACAGCCTGTTTACCACTGGCAGAGCTCTCTTCTCACGTACGCTTTCAGTCACTATTTCCTCTCTCATACAGTGCACCAAAGACGCCTCATCTCATCATCTGCAGAAAACACTTTTATGAGTATAACCTTTCCAAAAGTATTAATTTGCATTTGTATAGCAAGCAAAGAGAAGAAAATAAGCCCGCCCCAGAAGAGGAGATGCACGTAGACTATTGAGGTTTTCTAAGGAGCCTGAGGGAGTTAGTTGCCTAAGTGCTGCTGAAATTCAATATAATTTTGGTATTTACTTTTGCAATTTGATATGCCTTTCAGAATTTTTGCCGAAATCTGAATGAAATCACCTTTTTGAATGTTTCATCTCAGCATTATGACTGACTTCGAATTAAGGGAAGTCATTTAGGTAAGTACTCACAGGAGGGCCAAAACTTCAAACCCAGACTTAGGGTTTTTCTTTCTTGTTTGTTTGTTTGTTTTTAAATGGCCTATATTCAGTTCTGCAGATCTCTTATCAAAAAAATGAAATGGAAACATCATTCTATCCTCCAATGGGAATGAATTAATCTGATTTTTAATGGTGGCTGTTGAATATTATTTTTATCTCTAGGAAATATCCCAAACCCAACTAGATGAATGAGTTCCATTTGGTGACTGCAGCATCCCAACACTTTTCATAATAAATAATTACAAAACTCTTTGATTAACTTTCAATAACTGGATTCAAGAAATCACTACACAGGAAGGTAATAAATACCCCCGATAATGCACATAAAATAAATTTCATTAAAAGGGAGGTGGGGGGATTGGATTAAAAAGAAAGCCCGAAACTTCGCCAACACTGACGGACTGAAATGCCATTTGTGACTTCACTATTAGCACTTCAGGAATAGAAAAATATCCAGTATCTGTATTTCCACATAAGAGCCTATTCAAAAAAATAAGACTTATTCTTGTCTTGTTATTTCATTACAGTTTAAATATTCCTATATTTCAGAATATTCTGTATTGAATTATATGAGAGATCTTCTTCCCAAATGTTACACAAGTACAAGAGCAAAAAAGCCTCATTTCTATTTATTTTTATTTTTAGAAACAAACAAATGTCTGGGGATATTTTACAAGGGACAATTTTAATTCAAGTTCCTGCTCATCGTCAATGTGCCAATAAAATTATCAAGCGAGCGAGTTCTCTGTTCTGACAGCAAGCTACTTTTACTGCCACAGTTCAGCACAATTTTTAGGTTTTTTGTTTATTCACTGAAGCCACGATACCATTGGGTCACATTTTGATAATTATATTTTACTACAAAAGCAACAGGAGCAGCAGCTGGCCTCGGTAAGTGAGGGAGCACAGATCGGAAAATAGGAATAAGCCACTCCTCGGGGATGCAACAGAGCAGCTGGATTTACATGCTAACAAATGGAGAATAAGAAGAATATGTATTAAACTACTCACCTTCCTATTTTAAAAGAAAATTCAAAATATTTAAAATGCAGCAACTATGAAGTAAGCCACTTTGAAGGAGCTATGGGACTACCTGCTCCTTTCCAGTCATTTAGCCAGTCACCGCATAATCAGAAGAAAAGCAAATTGTGCCCTAGAAGTACCATAGTGTAGGACTATGCACAAAATACCAAGCCCTGTAAGTGACTTTTGTTTAGGTTGAGCAAGAATGGCGAGTTAAACAACACAGCTCAACCTCTGTTGCAGTTAAATAAAAAATGGCATAACTCCAACGAGCATTCTGGGACTTAAGCATTTACTTGTCAGTTCTGTTGACATGGTAGATTTGGAGAAGAGCCAGCAATTTTGCAACTATTGATCAAGCCAGCAAAAAGGTAAACAGTGAAAGCTGCTGGTTTCTTTTTAGATGTCAAAAACACATGCTTTTTATGAATAATCTCTAATGTGCTGTAGCAAGCAATTATTACATAAACAGCATGGCCTATATTATTGGGCATATACATTACCATATGAAAGCAACTCTAAACTTAACCCATTCATATGGTAACATTTTCTTTCAAGTTCATCACACAGCTGAAGAAACTTCTTTTCCACCTAAGGAAATGTAGTACTTTTTCAAATGGAATTATCTGAAGGAGAAAGGAATCATGCATACATTAACTAAAAATTACTATTAAAATGACCAGTTAATGTTGTTCTAATCAATTTACACCCTGATGAGAGATGCTTCTAACATCCCCTGGGAACAGCAATATAAAGAAGAAAATTTTGTGGGTTTGGCACCATATTTACAATATTTAAAACATTTTCAGATTCTAGAACCATTACTGGCGGTTCATCTAATTGAAATATTCAATAGTCTGTGGAACAAGCAAACATTTGCCTGAGAATACTTAATTCAATATAATTGGACAGACTTGGAAAAATTCCAGTCTGGCAATAGAAATGGATTGTTAATTCTGCTGTTTTAGACTAGGAAACAGACTGGAGTTCTGCAGTATGTTCTGGGCAGAGTGATACTGTTCTATCAATCCTGAGGACCTCTGCAGAAATTGCAAGGGCCACAGAACAACCTGTAGAATGAAAGTGGGAATAATGAGGGAGACAGCTTCTCCCTTTGTCTACTAAAGGCGTGTCTTACTCACGCTGACTTACCAAAGGTCCCACTCTTAACCATTCCCAAATATAAACCCTTCCAACTAGTGGGAGAGCATCACCAGATAAGTAAAATCGCCCTGTACCTAGAAATAAGGCATAGGAATGCAGTTAAGAAGAAGAGGAGACCTCCAAATCAGCTGCCAGAGAAAAGAACAACACATATATAAATGGCCCTGTCAGAGAAATATGTGCATCCATTTTGTAATCACTGCATTTAAAGATTTCGTAAGGCCTTGTGTTTAAGACTGCACAATCAGACTTGAAGGACTTCATCAGAACATTAGCAAAAAAGAGGGGGCATGGAGGGTTTCAAATCGCAGAAAAATTAAGTGATAGGGCATCAAAGTAAAATATGTGAAAATGCAGAGAACTACTGCTACAGTGCAGCATTTCAGGGGAAAAAATATTTAAATCAATAATGACAGAAATGAGCACAGAAGACTTCAACCAGCACTGCCAATTTACAGCAACAAGGGCAGGAACAATGACAAAAAAAACCAAAGGCTAAATGTAGATATTTGGTTCTATTTATTAATTCAACTGATTAACTCTGCATCTTTTATTGCTGCTACTGTTGAACTGGCCTTCTTTGAAGCAAAACGTCTGAAGAGCTGGCGTATGTTTCTGTATAAGGCATAGCGTGAAAACACAACAATTTATCTTCAGATTTTGTCAATGTGTATCATCTAAATCTGACACTTATTAAATTTGTCATTCTAAAGGTTTCATCTGTCTTTGGATGTCTGTCTTTTGAATTTTTACAAACTGTGACTTGGAATGAAATACAAAAAAGATTTAATCCACTCAGGGAAGTTGTAAGCATCATTTCAGAAAGGCTAGCAAAAACATCTGCTCAGTGGTCTAAAAAGAAAACAAAATCTTAAACTGTACAAAACCAGAAAATGCTGAGGAAAATTCAAATGCCTTTAAGAAACCTAATGGTATATTCTCATTGCAGTGTTTGAATTCTGATCATCTCTTTTCAAATAGACCTCTAGAAATAGAAGAGGTCTACAGAATGGGAATGAAAATTATTTGAGGCATAGAAAAGATTCCACTTACAAGGAGATAATAAAAAGCATTTAAGACTATTCAGTTCAGAGAGTATACTAATAAAAGATCATGAGAAGTTATAAAATAGTTTATCATACAGAAGGAGTCAGTCAAGACTTCCACAAAGTTGCATGTTAAATTAAAAAGGTAATAAGGTCAAACATAACCAGGGTAAGATATGCAACCTACCAAAAAAAACCCCAACAAAAAACAAAAGCCAAACAAAAACTCTACAGAACTCACTGTTCCAAAACTTCTGAAACACAGTTAAATATTTCTATCAACAAAAATAGGGAAGCTATGCAAAAGCATTAACAAGACATAAAAACTCTTAGAACACCAAAAAGATAAAAAGAAAATTTAACAGGATTAAGAAAGTAGCATCATTCCTGGGCATTGTCTACCACACAGAGGATTTGCACTTTCCTAGGAAGCATCTGGAATCAACCATTGGCAGAATGACAGAACAACAGATTAAACGGACCACACATATGTCAAGGGATACGTATATATTCATTCCATGTCTGTGGCCGCAACTAATACCACATGACTGGGGAATAATAATGTCCAGTTTGCTAAAAGGATGATTGTGTTTCCTGTCCATTATACCCTGTGAAAAAGGCTGTAATAGTCCCCTAGAAACAAAAGAAATACATAGCAATACAATAAATGTTCCAGGCATTTTTTCTACTGTTGAAGCATTCCAGCTATGCTCCACAATTTCTTAGCTAATAGCACTCTCAGGCCACCTTTGCTAATTTCCCACAGGAGCAGCAAATGACACCACTAGAAAAATTAAATTTATCATAAAGTAATTTCTCTAAAGTTTTCAAAAGGAAAAGCTTCAAAATTAAAACTGTGTTAGAATTTTGTGCATGTAGAGCATACTTTTTCCACAAAATGCAGTGAAAATGTTGAATTTTACATGATATCTTTGTGTCTACATTCCTTTAATAACATTTCATAACTTAGCAGGCAAGGCAGATAACTTATGGGAAACCTCATTTCTCAGCATAGCTCTGGAAAAGTGAAAACATAGCTCTGTAAAATCATTCATACTCAAGTTGCACAAACCAGTATTTAACAGTCTGAATTGTCCCATATTTTCTGGACCATATAGGGAAGCAGGAACTGGTAAAGCTACTCCTTAAACCTTTCCTTACTCTGTGCACATTATGAATGGGCAGCACTGCTCAATCAACACTTCTTTCTTTAAAAAGGTAAAGAGTAAAAACAGAAAACAGTAGAGAAAAAAATCAAGATTTCCCTTCCTACTCATTAGCTGAAGTCCCTCATCAGGTAGACAGAGGACACTTTTTCAGCAAAGTAGGCAAAACCATTTGTCCTTTCCGTACTCATTCATTCATAGAGGAAGGGGGAGCATGGCAAGAACTGTAATTCAGAGTTTGTTTTTGCACCTATGATCCAGTCTCAGAGCAGGCTGTAAGGAAACCACAGCCTAGCACCTCCTGTCATTCTGCCTCATGAGCAGGTGGAAGATACACAACTCTTCTAGTTTGTACTAGAGCTACAGAAATCTGGGAGCCTTTGCACAGAAGAAAAATAAACCAAAAAGAGAAAGAGAAGTATGAAGAGCACAAAGATCAGAACACCTGGATGTAAGCTAAACACATAACACAAAACAGTATCTTAACAAGTTGCTTCCAATTTCACTAAAGAAAGACTCAGTACAGTATCATTTTACAAAAATCAGGGAAATGATTTAAAGGAAAATCCAAAACAACATTCTGCTCCTTTGAAGTTGTAAAATGATAATTTATTCTACTCACAAAGAAGCAGAAATGTGATTTTTTTGTTTTCTTTATTTTGTTCCATCTAGCAAGCACACAGCATTAGGTAAGTATATATGCAGGAAAACTGCAAGGAATCAGATCTTGTGTTATCTAGGCATTCATGGTCATTCTTACTGATACACATTGCACCATTTGTGTCCTCAGATCTTTGCAGAGGAACAGAAAGACAAGCTCCTGCCTCCTGGGGTGCCAGCTATCCAATTAAAATAAAAACTACAAAAGCAATTAAAACAGAAGGTGCAAAAGAAAGAAAAAAGTAGAAGTAGGGCTGGTTTATACCACAGAAGATAGCTCTCTTGTGAAGAGCAGTATGTGTTTGTTTTTCCACTCTATCAATTTAAATGTAATTGCTTTAAAATATTCAAATTTTAATATAATTTTAAATATTTATTTTCTGTAGAATATCCATAGCAGGTTCTGTGAAAAACCTCTGTTCCAAAAAGGATTTCAATGAAAAATACTGTGATTGCTTGTATGGTTTTCAGATCTACAAAAGATTATTTTTTAAAAGGCCAGACTTGGAGGATAGCATGGAAGATCTCCAATACAGGAAAGCAACTGAGAAAATAAAGTTCACTGACTGCAGCAGAAGTCACTACCTGCCATCCTGATGACTTCATGAGAGAATGGAGCAGGCAAATAGCACAGCGAGCCAAAAGCGAAGTAGAACTCAGGAAGCAACGCAAACAGGGACAAAGACAGAAACAAGCTTATGCAATTTTGAAAAGAACAAAAAGCTAGAACCAAAATCTTGAAGCAGCAGCTTAGTGAAGAGCAGTGGATGAAGTCATGAAGTAATTCAAGCAGTGGGAGAGAGATTATCTCTGCAACAGCATTTTGCAAAGACTGTAGATAATAATGTCAAGAAGAAAATAACCCAATGGAGGAGGTTGCAGTAGCTTATGAGAGATAGGAGACATGAGAAGCTTCACAAATGATTATGAAATAGTTCTGGAAAGTAATGTACAGGTTTTTAGAGAATAATTAGAAACTTCCCCAACATATACAACTACACTTTCCAGAAATTGTCATGTGTTCCAACAGCTTTTCTCTTTCAAACACATTCAAACTACAGGGGAGGGAAACTGGGGGGGGGGGGGGGGGGAGTTTTCGGTTTTCTCCCCCATCAGCACCAAATCATCTCTAGAAAGAAGAAAGAATAGTTAAGAACCTGGACAGAGGGAAGAGTCAAAAATGGCACTAGAGTTATGTGACTACCTGGCTGGCATGTAACAAACTCACTGCCACCAATTGAATAGGTACAGGGAAGGGAAGGGGGGCAAATGATGAGAGCTAACATTTGGCACTAGCAGTGGGAGATCCAGAAAATGTCTGTGAGAGAATTACAGATACAATACTGAGCAGAAAGGGAAGAGGTCAAATTTGGAGTCATCTGAGGGAAACCAAATAGTAGCTTAAGTCAAAAGAGTTCCTCAAGGTCCCAAAGAGTAGAACAACAACAGGGGAAGTGCAAAGTGACAAAGGCCAGGGAAGAAACTCACAGAGTACAGCAACCGATTAAAAGAAGAGGGGAAAAAAATGGTCCTTAGATGTGGGAAGTAAAGAACCATCAATCACCTTTCTATGAATATTGTGAGTGGACAGAAACCATGGAAACCAAAGAGATGAAAGAGGAAGCTGAGGCAACACAAACAAACAGCTTTAGGAGCGGAGAGGAAAATATGAAAATTGACATAGACATAAAGGGAGACCCACAAGGATGATAGATGATATGCCATACAGTAGGTGTTACATATGAGCAATCTACGATGAAAACAAAAGCAATTCCTTGTTGTATACGACATTGACGAAGAAATTGGGTTTGACCTATAACAGTTCTCTCCTGCTTTCAAACATTTCAATTTAGTAGCAATAAAAATCCCTATGAATTCTAAATGCAATTCTAATTGTGCTTATAAATGGTAGTTTCACAAGTATGTATGTTACAATAAACTCAAATTAGAGGTAAATTAAACCTTAATTATATCTAGCAAGTTTTATGTCCTAATTAAAAATGGTATTCTAACAATAAAAATGACTTACCACCTGAATTAGCTCTGCCACAGTTGTCTAATCTTCCTAAACATTCTTTGTGTGCTCCAACTCCACACTTAGAACATAAATAGCCTTGATAAAATGTTCCCCTGTAAAATAAAATTAGGTAGTGATACATTAGAGGTGATAAATTCCACGCATAAAGGAAATAAGAGACATGACAGAAGGCATTAGAAGTCATTTGCTGTTCTGCATAATGATAGTCCTTAATGGCTGGAGAAAAAGTGACAACTGACAAGCAGCTCATCTGCTTTTCGTCACTAGTAGCCATTTAAAAACCACAACCAGATTGTTATTCTACTAGTAGTCCAGAAGAACTATCTCCATTAAAACATAGCCCAAAGCAACGTGGGCACAGTACATGTGAAACTGTACCATTATGTACCTATCCTACTTCTAGATCTACACTTCATTTCATCTCAATGTAAATTTGCCTAGACACCATGAAGAATAAGATCCATTTCAAGAGAGTTGTAAGTTTGAATATATGTTTAAGCATGAAGGAGTTTATAGGCTATATGGCAAATATTCTTGACTTTATATTTGTTCATTTAAAAAAAAAGCTACATAGGCAGGTACACTTCAGTAAACATTCAGATCTGCTAAATAAGGGTCACTTCCCTTACTCTAAATGTTCTCCAGTTCCCCTTAAGGAATTGGAATCTGAATTTGAGTCTTAGGAAACTGATTTATTTTCAGTTTTCTGCTTGGCTTCTCTCTTAGGTACAATTCACTGAATGGCTAACAGGGAAACAGTTTTTTTACATGTACCTCTGAGCAATTTTGAGAGTTCCATCTACTGATGTATTTGCTTACTCTTCGTACTATGTGTCTCCAAGATTATTCTGACCAGTTTGGAGTGATTATGCATCCTAGTCCAACATGACACCTTTAGCTTCAAAGGAAAATCAGGTGTCTCATATGGAACACAGGATTGAACAAGCTAAACCTGAAGGGAGTGTACAGCAACTGCTATTAGTAAAGCAATTTCTAGGCTGTTAGTGATGAAATATATTTTTAATTAAATTCAAAAGCACAATATTTTTAAGTATCAGAATACACAAACTTAAAGACAAGTAAGTAGAAAGCATAAAAAATATTTTAATGCAGTCTTCCATTTTTATTTTTTTCCTTATTGCTACACAGGAATGCAAGATTCTCTAGATAAAAGTAAAGGACATAACTTTATCGTTCACTACAGATGCTTCTAAGACTAGGATTTTATCCCCACTTAAAGTTTAGGCACTAAGGTTCAGATTTTTTTGTGGGTTTTTTTTTTTTAAGTATTTACACATTAGCTTATGTTTGAAGCTTAAAATGACAATCCACTTTAAAAAGTGATTGAGGCACTTTAAGAGGCTAAGTCCAGTAGACTTTCAATACAACTTAGATATCCAGGGACATGTCTATATACCACAAGGTAGCACACTTGGGGATACCCAAGCTATCTTTGAGCAAATTGGCATGCTTATGCAGAACAATGCAGCATCATGTGGGCTGTGTCCTGAAAGCAAGACAGCCGTTTCTCAGCAACAGCAGTTAGTGCAGTAACAGAGACACAATGACTCAACTATACTGCTTCAAATTCAGAAATTAGCCCTGTCATCTCTAAGTTCAGGATGTCTGCACCTCTCTTCATAGTCACTTAGACCTGATTGCATTCAGGGGAAAAAAAAAAAATTATCTAAAAAAAAAAAAACCACCCCCACAAAATCTCTGAAAACCCAGGTCAGTCTAACTGTTCAGGAAAAAGGTTGCTAAAGGAAAAAATACATGACAAGGAGGAACATACCTGAGGCTATTTTATTCCATGCCTATGCTTAAGAAAAGAACTACCCATACTTCAAATGCCCTTTCTAAAACACTGTGGCTACATTTTTTGGAACATCAACAATATGCAACATAAGCACCTGAACTGGCCAAAGTTTACAAAGCTTTTGCATCTGCAACTTAAGACTATGAAATTTAGGTTCAATACATACCTCTTTACCATTGCACATTCCATATTTACAAAAAAACAAAGTGGCTCCTAAAAGATAGCTCAAATAATGAATGAGAAACTACAGATGTGCGTGCACGTGTGTGTTTCAGAGGAAAGAGGCAGCAAACATGGAACTTCTTAGCTTAAGTTAGCCTTACAAATCCTTGTTCATGAAAGTATTAGTTGTCTGCTAGCATTTCTGACCTCGCTTTGCAACAGCTATCTTCAATTTGTCTACATATCTCTGGTTCAGAAATGCCTGTTAATGCCTCACAGTTATTTTGTGTCTCACAAAGCAATCTACCCATATCAAACATTTATGAGCATCGTCATCATCTGATTTTCTGAACAAATATTCCATCTGTCCTTGTGACTGGTGGTCTACAGCAACGGGACCTGTGGAACAGCCATGGTAGTCAAAACTGTACAAAATGGTTGTCATTTACATAAGAAGTCCTGTATTAAATAAAGCAATTCACATAAAAGAATCATTATAAAGCAGCCTTCTGATAAGCGAGGAGCATTCTCGAGGTTTTGAGTTTTAAACAGCACTCCTGCTAACATTTAGAAACTTGCTAATACAACAAGAAATACTACATACAACTTCATGGCTTGTTTGTCTTGGACAAGTAAACAGCTAGCCATGTGTTTCCACATACTCCTTTGACTCAGATATTTCACCTGGGAATAAAACAAAATAAAATAAAAAAACCACATAAAAATGTTACCTCAGAAGCATCTGACAGACTTTGCAAGACGTCACGCGACTGAAAGTATGCATTTTGAACTCATGAAAGCTTGTATCTGCATAGTCTGGCCGTATGTTTGACCTAAAAAAAAATTTGAAAATTTGCTTTAAACCAATGAAAACCAGAGCGTAATGCAGCATTCACAGCACGAAATCTGAATCCACGAACAACTAGTTTTATTTACACTCTGATGTTTTTTCACTGAGGTGAACCAGAAATATGGACTTTACCACACACCTTGAAATGAAATCTAAATTATGATATTATGCAGACCTGGTCCTTAAAATACACCTTGTAACTACCTTAGCTGTCACAATACTAGAAAACTATACATCAAAACAAACATCATTTGGTTTTTATTCCCATTCAGTAACTAGGATCATTTTATGGACCTAAAGAATGCTCACATTTTCATTCTCAAATATTTTGTTATGTGGATGTACAAAAAAGAGCAGCTCATACAGAGAACCACATATTGAAAACATGAGCAGCAAATTTGGGACAGTTAGGTCACAATTATGCAGCAATATGCTAGATAACATGAGCAATTTCAAAAGCAGTTAGAAAATATTTACTGGGGTTTGGCTAGTCTTTCTTAAATATGTTGCCCAATGCCTACAGCTGTTGCTTCACACACTTAATTTAACAAAATGAAATAGAAGATCACTGTTCACACTGCTAAGATACGAACATACTATTGGCTTATTTCCAAAGATCACATTTATGTGTGAAGCACTGGTCCATTTACTGTACATGTGTTTTGTTTATCCTCCCTACTGATCCCTTTTAAAAACAGGAGTATAATTTTAAAATGACCCACTCATCATTTTATTGCACTGGTGACTGTTTGCAGGTTTATTTAAATTTTATTAAGTGATCTATTCCTTTTTTTGTCATCTTCCCCATTTCCAAGACTGGGTGTGGGGGAGGAGAACAGGAATTTTCGATTGATTTATCCTTTTTTTTTTAATTCAGTGACATCCCCAAACTAGCTTAACACTGTCAAAACCAGTAAAAATGAAATGCTAGGTACATAATTTAATATTAAGCTAGACTCATTCAGACAAGAAAAATATATATACAGTAAGGATTAACGTATTTTTAAATATTATTTACATTGGAATGCTTAGGATCCCATAAATTTCTCGTATCTTTCTAGCAAAAACATAGGACTGCAAGACGCATAGGAATTAAAATAGGAAAAAAATCCTGAGACTAAGAATGCAATAATCTACAACACTCAAAGGAAAGACCATAAGCTTTTCTGACACAAAAAATTACAAATTCATGCATTAAAGTTGGAGATACTTATTAGATAAGTTTCATTTTTATGTATTATAAATAACTTCTAGACTAAAACATAGACCAGCCACAAATTCCAATGAAACATAAATATAGATAATCATGCATCAATCTCTCCAGGACTGAATGAAAAGGCTTATGAAAAAAACATTCAAAGAATCTGTTTAAGTACCTAGTGTCAGAAAGGTCAGTCTTCTAATCCGTCTGCTGAAAATGAACGTGCTGAAAATGAAACTGTACTCAAAAAGCAAATGGGATTTTGCTTTTATGCTTGAGAATAACCTTACACTTAGTACTGTCTTAACTAGCTCACTAGTGTCTCTCTTCCTGCTATGATATACAAGATGTCAATACCACAACTCCTGCTAACTAAAACAGGCATGGATATCCATTCACAGCAGGAAAGTACAGGTATCGGGATAAAATTAATCTCAAAAAAGTAAAGAACTTTTTAAACCAGGAAAACAATGTATTATTTGGGGGCTGTTAACTCTGCAGAGCAAGGCCTGTATTTCACAACATGTTTGCCAAGGGGCTGCTAAAACCTCTTAGGCTACACAGTTAACTACGGACAATCCTGAAAACTCCCTAGAACAAGTTACAGTAATTACAACCCCAACAAAATCTGCTTTTTGTTGACCATTTGGTTCAGACCAGGATACCTTGCAAAACCATGTTAAAAGTATCAGCCTAACATGAAGAGACTCATCAGATTTGAAAGGATATCAAATTGATCCTAACAACCTGACCATTTTTCAAGAACAAACCAAAGAAAAAATCCATTCATTTAACTAGAACAGGATCACTCTTCAAAAATAATAAGCATAGTGGACGAAAAGAAAAAAAATTACAACCTCATACAGACAGTTGTTTAACACAAGCATATGACTATATAAATTCCTTTCGTATGTAAAAATTTTCTTCTATTCTTCTCTCAGGCTATGTTCCACATAAGATTGAAATACATGAACTACTGAAAATATACCTCCTATTAACAGAACAAAAATGATACACTGTGTTCATTCTTCTTTATATTAAAAATAGTGTTTTAATTTCTTCATATTTTATAAAGCCATTAGGTTTCATTTTACAGTCCTTAATAAAAAAAGTTACTCTTGAAAGGATGTTGTGGTTTAACCCCAGCCAGCAACTAAGCACCACGCACTCACTCACTTCCCCTGCCCCCAGTGGGATGGGGGAGAGAATCAGGAAAACAAGTAAAACTCGTGGGTTGAGATAAGAACAGCTTAACAGAACAGAAAAGAAGAAACTAATAATGATAATGATAACACTAATAAAATGACAGTAGTAATAATATAAGGAATGGAATATACAAAACAAGTGATGCACAGGGCAATTGCTCACCACCTGCCAACTGACATCCAGTCAGTTCCAGAGCAGTGATTCCCCACCCCCACTCCCCCCAGTTTATATACTGGGCATGACATCACATGGTATGGAATCCCCCGTTGGCCACTTTGGGTCAGGTGCCCTGGCTGTGTCCCCTCCCAGCTTCTTGTGCCCCTCCAGCTTTCTCGCTGGCTGGGCATGAGAAGCTGAAAAAGCCTTGACTTCAGACTAAACATCACTTACCAACAACTGAAAACATCAGTGTTATAAACATTCTTCTCATACCTAACTCAAAAACATAGCACTATTACCAGCTACTAGGAAGACAATTAACTCTATCCCAGCTGAAACCAGGACAGAAGAAAAAAAGCATAGTGCTAAAATGGCAAAGAATGAAGCTGTTGCCTCACAGAACAGCTGTCACAAGACCCTCCACCTTCTTCCAACCTAAGTTGTTTTATTGCACCTATGGGCTAAACTATCAGATTATAACGTGCTAAACAAGACAGACAATTTATTCAGATAAACAGACTTAAAACTTCAGCTCCCTACTGTATGCTAAAATTTGGATACATTTGTCCTACTTGCGTAGGTAGAAGAATATAAAACTGAAAACATATAATACAATACAAAATTTAGAATATCATGCAAACTTCAATTTCTCATCCACTATTACCTACAGGAGGACCTAGTTTGGTTCCAAGTACTACTCAGTTCTTCAGGATCACAAAAATGTATCACAAAGAGTGAATCCCTCTGTTTCTTTAGACCCCACCAAGTTTTAGTTTAGTGATTGTAAGATTCTAACAATTACCTCAATAAATTCTCTATCTAAAAACCTGTTCTATCTTCATCACCTACACATCTTTCACACTCCCTATCAATTCACTACCATCTAACTTCATGTATTACCTTGTTGGCTAAGGCCAAGCTAGCACAATGATCTTCTAAAATAGCTTTTTTTTTTTTTAAAAGACATGAGCCTGAGTAGCTCTTTCAGGGGCACACAGCAACTATTCATAAACCAAAAGGACCTTTTAAATTTAGCTAGCCCTTCCTTGCACCACTCAAGAGATACCATTTTCCTCCCTTTTTTCCCCAAAGCCACATCACCCAGAAGGAAAAGCTTAAGAATCCTTAAAATCAAAGGAGACACCACTGAAGTACATCAACCATAGATTAAATGAATCGAATCTGGAGGGGACTAGAGCCTCAGCATATTACAGAAGATCCAGTGCAGAAAGAGCAGGAATCAGCAAGGCAAGAAACATAACCTGCTGCTCAGTCTTTCTTTTTGTGCAGACTTAGAAGATTCTTCCAAGCAGTTGTCTCAAAATGAACAATGCCATTGCAGTCACTGAGAAGAATAACATTCAAGTATTCTTTTGTCTCTTCCTTTCTATTTCTAATCATTCGTCCTAATTGTCTTCAGATTTCAGGTCAAACAGGAACGGGAAAATGTCAAGTGTTTCATTTCAGTTTACACTTCAGTAAAATATATTCTCAAATTTGAGAGTCCATCACATTTCAAGAAGATCAGGATTTTACCCATTATCTCATTATTCTCTTCATAATGAAATAGTCTATTAAAAATACTAATATTTAGATACATTGTTATCAGTTGATTCATGTTAGACAAGAAGGCACTTCATCACTGCTCAAAAAAAAGTATTCACATTTATGCAAAAGCAAAGTTTCCAGTCATCAATATTCTGATAAAGGCAGGAGAACAGTGCAAAATAAGAAATAATATGCTCACTCTGAAGCCAGAGTCCTGCAAAGTGAAGCACAATATAGAAAGATAATTAATGATACAACAAAAAACAGAAAAAACTACACCAAAAAGATAATGTGTATTATCTACTATAAAAGTAGAGGTGGAATAAGGAAAACTTTATAGAAAAATATATATTGCAGGGCTAACAGCGGACAGGAAAACTCTTGCATATTCCAGTACCTGATCAGTCATGCTGCAATATGGCAAATCCAGTTCTGTAGTCACATTACACATCACATCAGATCAAGTCTGAGATAATCTGAGATGTATATATCAGTATATATCAAGTAGCAAGTCTTTTAATGTAAAGCCTGAAACTTCATGAAACTAGGGGTTTGATATTTTAGTTTTCAACATATTGTTCTTCAACAAATCAAAAATAATGCAAAAATAACCCAACTCAATACCACGCGGAAGTTTCCAACTAGAGATTAAGGGCAACTCATCTGTGACTGTTCAAGCCCAAACACCACAAGGACCGTAGGAAATTTTTTTTCCACAAAACCTTTCACACTGAATAGCATATACTATTTTTTGAGTTTTTAAATACAGTAAATAAAGCCAATAACTTCAACAGAAAAACAGCAGTCAAAGCACAGCATACAACTTTTCATAGTCGTGTCCAACCATAAAGAAGCTTTTTTCAGTTACA